AATTTTTTGTCAAAGGGTCAAACCACGACCTGGCACGTGATTTTACGCGCGTAAACAGATTAGACATGCGCCGAGTCTATCGCTGTCATATACAAAGTAAATCTTTTTTCTAAGGGTTTAAATTGGTATTGGTTGACCCACTCATGCATAAACTCCAGTAACTTCTACTCGGTTCCTTTTTAATTACAAAAGCTTCTTCGGCTACTTTGAAAACACAGTTTCAGTCACCGATTTGCAGTTCAGTACAATGTCAACTATTGAGATCGTGAGCCTCGCCAGTCTCTTTATTTTGTTCTTAATCATGTGTTTCGTCGTCAAGAACAACTTAATCTTCATACTGATAGGGCGGCAAAGGGCTGTCGCGGAGCGGGATGGTGCCATGATGGATGTACAAAACAGAGCGACCCAGACAGCAGATACGCCTCTACAGCCTAGAGTGGGTGAGATGGCTACCATAGGGATGCACGTTATACCGCATCAGTGAAGAGTTTTGGAGTCAGCTGGAGGAAGCGAAATTAGGACGGCGATTGGTATACAGCGTATGCCTGTGCAGCCAAGTACATGTGTCCATCGAAGAATTACAAATCGCCCACTTCCTCGAGAAAACGATGAATAGCTCAGTTTAAAAATGGTAAGAGAATAAATCAATCCATTTAGCACTAGTATACTTCCATTACGTTTGCTGCGCTTTCAAGATACTCCTACAGCCAATCTTTAGTTTAGCTTAGTGTTGGAAAATAACTTATTCTACCTCTAGATAACATGTTTAGACTGTATTAGAATTACTGCTGACGCCAGCAGAAAAAAACTCCAAACAATAAAGACAGAGCAACTCATCTGGGATGATGCAATCATGTAATGGCCTATTTTCATCTTTGCAGGTCTTTTTAGACTTTTCGAACCAGCTGGAATATTTGATATCATGTATCCATTACTTTTTAAAAATTCATCATATCAGAAAGGAGATGTACTATGAAGCTCAGTATGGTAGTATGGAGATATGGATGTGCGATATAGATGTAATTATTCATGATAATGATTAGATTTCTATACTGTACCATTAAATTTAATTTCACAGAAATTCCAGTCTTATTTGATGTTTCAAAAATAGTTGTTGAAAGGGTTTAGCTGTCGGAAGAAGACACATAGATCTTACGGAGCACAGAAACGTGACCGCCATGAATACCTTCCATATTCCTGAAAAGTATTTTCCTGCTTAATAACAATGGACAAGTGATATTGGTAATCCTTCGTTTCAAAGTATCTTCTCGACCAAAAACAGAGTATACTTGGTGAGCTCCTCCAAAAAAGGGTGGCAGGAATGAGAAAACTTTCAGCCATTTAAAATTCGTCATAAAATCCGTTCCTCAATCTTACCATCTCATTTTACTTTCCAGCCCGGTAGTTTTTTATCTTCCTTTGCCGGTGAACTATGTAAATGTTGGCTGCTCACTTATGGTATCTTTACTAATGAAATGGTAAGCTTGAGGAGCTTACCATTTCATTCTACTTTCCAGCCTGGTACTTCTTCAGCTTCCTTTGCCGGTGAACTATTGAAATGTTGACTGTTTACTCATCAGGGGATCGAAGCACGTCAATATTAGCCTACAAAACTCAAGCGCATTATGGCTTGACTGGCTGATTAAATATGTATGATTTTACAAAATGCAATTTAGAAGGGTTCGGTTTAATCAATAGTCCTAAAGCCTGTATTACTATTAACAAAGGTGGGCATTACCTAAATAGAGTGAAAAACAAATCATTGCAGAGAAACTTTGTTCATTCCTTAATATTGATTATTCAGTACCTCGAAAAATGTAGGAATTGTTTTTTGTTGACGGTTCTGAAAGGAATAGTGGGGGTGTTAATCATTCCTCAACAACGTCACCTTGTAGAGATAATTTTCTTGACTTCAATAATTGGTCACACTGACCACTAGATTTCTTTCCCAGTGCTGAGTGAGTTAGATATCTTCACCGAGAATGATTGTAGGAAATTCTTTCAGTGGTCACCAGACTCTGTCTTTGTTTTACGCCCTTTTCTACGGTTAAGAAGCGATCCGGCGCTTGATTAAACTGATTAATTCTACAAAACTGCTGTCAAAACTGAAGACACGTGGCCCAAGAGCTACATTACAGGCTAGGATAAACAAGCATAATCATTTTATATCGCTCATATTGCTGTTGCAATTGGTGGAAATGCTTAATCAAT